AGTTGTTCAACACCGTTTCAACAAAGCTTACAGTGAGCCAAGTTTCGATAACAGGCATCATCTACTGTGTCTCCAAAAATATATTATACAACTAATAATAAGTGTATAAATAATGGGGCCACTAAGTTGGAGCACAACTAACCTTACAATGACCGGAACAGAACAATTAATATTCCGGAAACCATCAAGCACTACCATCCCTTGCGATTAAAATCAAAAAACGACGCTGTCCACCCCAAAATTCTGATTAGAATCTTATGACAAATTTGGGTAAAATTATCGGTAAAGAGTTGCAGAAGACGTCGGTTTCACTTTCACTGTTTGTTTACGTTAAAGGCGCGGCGGGATCGGGATGCGGTTGGGGTGGGGGTGGGGAGGAGGGAGAGCGACACTTTGGGTGCGACCAAGTCTCGTCTGATCTATCACTAAATAAAGGAGCCCCCAAAAAGTTATCGCCATCTTTTGATAAGTTGTTCCCAGCACTTGTATATGTTGTGGGGGAAAAAAAAAATCTTCACACATGCAGTTTTGACGGCGTAGTGGGTACCATCCTGGTATAGTGAGTCGAAGGAGGCATATGATTCGGCTGTGGGCGCCGGGGTTCGACTCACGGCCAAAGTGTGCCGTGGGAGTTCCCTGATGGGCACCTTTGCTGTGGTGGCGTGTGTATAATAAGACCTAGAATCTGGCTTTAAAGGAGCTCCATGACCTGTGGTGGATCAGTACAGTTTAAACAGCGTACGCGTCAACCGTCTCACAAACCCCGGGAGTATATGTTCTGACCACTGTGGTTCGGCAGATCCCGTCACGAACTCAGAAGTCGCTCTGACCGTGTCGGAGTGGCCACGACAACTTTCCCTCCCGAGGTGAGCGATGGGTTGCCTACCGCTCAGGCGGACCGGGCCAACAACGGCGAGGTGGACTGGTGTGTTTCATGTTGGTTGTGTAGCTGGCGATGACGGGCGAGGGGGTGGGTACAATAGTGGTGGGAGAGCGAAACTTAATCAGTGTTTTTTTAATATTAGTGATTGAGGACATTCTCCGAAAACGACACACAAGATTTACAAGACGAGATATGTGGGCTGATTTAAATAAAAATCACTTCCTGTAGAAGTCTTTAATATTCGGGACTCCCTGCATCCCTGCCCCTTGTTGCGGTCGGCCTGTGAAACGAGATGAGAGAAAAATGATCGTCGGTGATGGGAGGCAAAGAAGTACAGCGGAAACAGGTGGCAGTGGAGAGAGGCTCACAGATCTCAAACTCGCGCCTCGGCGGGCAGACGATCGGCTGCGGCGCCCACGGCTGCACGGCGGCCCCGGGCGACTTGGGCTTCGGGGTGCAGGGCGGCGAGGGCACCGGGGAGCAGACCCTGGACAAGGACGAGGAGGGCGAGGGCGGTGAGCGGCAGGTGGGGTCCCGTCTGCACCACCATAGGGCCCCGATGATATTTTTACCCGCGGGGTAAAAATACCATGGGTCTCGATGGGTCTCTATGAGCTCTAAAAGTGCTCCTGATCCTTTTAGGACCCCTATCGTATTTGTACCCCGGGGTGCAAATCCCATGGGTTTCACAACCCCCGTGACATTTGTACCCCCTCCACTCACTTGGCGCGCTCCTCCTCGGACAGCGGCTCGAGGGCGGGCCTGCCCCGTGCGGCCACGATGAGGGGCCCGGTCGGCTGCTCGCCCGTGTACGACATCCTGGCCACGGTCGTGCCGTCGAAGGGCGCGCGCGAAGGGTTGTAGCAGCGCGCCGGCGCGTACGACTTCTGGCGCTCGAACCGCGACAGGTCGGGCTCCAGGAACGACATGGCCGCCGTCGTCTTGCCTGCGAAACAGAAACAGAAACGTTGAAAACGATGTTGAAAAAAATACAAATGACTTCGCGTACGCGTACGACATCGTTTCAATCGCGTGGGAGGTGGGGGGAGGGGGGTGGCTGCACGCGCGGGTGACGCCGGGTCTGTGCTCGACGCCACCTGCTACCGTGCGAGAGTAAACAAGCAGGCGTCAGTGTCGAAGACTCGTTTATTCCTCGGCTCAGGGTCACACCGCGCGTGGCCCGTGTTGTACCTTCCAAGGGCCTGCTGGAGATCTTGATCTCGCCGTCGGGCACGATGATGGCGGGCTTCTCGGCGCCCTTGGCCGTGTAGTCGTGGCGGGTGGTCGTCGTCCTGGACATGGGCCCCCGCATGGCCAGGATGCTGGGCGGGGGCGCGATGGACTGCGGCGGCGCCACCCCCGGCCACCCGGGGAAGCTCATCTGCAACACCGGGGAGGGTTGACGGCGTGCTCGTGTCTCTCCCCCTTTTACCAGTTGAGGCACCCAGGGATTTTAATTTGCCGGAAAAGTATTTCAAATAATTTTTTGTTAGGTCCCTTGATTTTTTACCAAAAATGTTTTACTTTTTCCAATTTTTCTGGAAATATGTCAATTTTTTACGATTTTTTCTATAAAAGTTTCAAATTTTTCCGGAAACTTTCAGGTTTTAAAATTTCCCAAGACCCACCTTGTTGATGGTGTCCTTGGCCACGTCGCCCACCCCAGTGCGCAGGTTGTCGTCGGGCTTGGTGGCCTCGGGCCGCTGGATGTGGACGTGGCCCTCGGTGGGCTCGAAGCTGGCGCCGTAGCAGGACAGGCCGTCGTTGGAGGCGCCCATGCTGATGAGGTCGCCGTGGTCCGGCTGCTTGTACGGGCAGCGCCGCGCGTCCTCGCAGCTCGTCGTAAAGCTGGTGGCAGACCGATCCGAGCGAGGGGTACTTCACTAGAAATTCAAGTGTACCCGGATTTTTATGTTTTCTTGATTTTCTTTAATTTTTGTTGTTTTCTTATTTTTTCTGATGTTTCGGTTATGTTTTTATTATTATTCTGATTTATTTCTGACTGGCTTTTCCTTGTTTTTTTAATTTTTAACTGATTCATTAAAAGGCTGTACACCGGTGTACAATGGTTATTTTATTTTTTTAGTGAAGTACCCCCTTTGAGAAGGTGGTGGACGTACCTCTGGTTGTACACCGTGGCGCCGTCCATGGTGGTGGCCGGCGGCGCGTACCTCTTCTTGGCGGCCCACGGGTAGTCCTCCTTGGGCGCGAGCGGCACCGGCTTGTACGACATGCGGCACACCGTCTCGCCCGTCACGGTGCCCTCGGGCGGCAGGTACTCCTGGCGCGGACGGTACGACTGGCTGGGCTCAAACGTGGCGTAGTCCGGCTCCTGGAAGGAGAGCTTCGCCGTCGTGTTCCCTGCGGGGAGGGAAAAGAGAGGCGGCGTATAAAGGCCGGGGACAAGCTTGAGGGCGCAGCGCGAGTACTGTCATACTTGCCTGCAGTAGTGCGCAGGTGCTTGGAGGGTTGAGAGCAACGGGAGCACTAACAACAAGTTCTTAGGGAAAGGCTAAAAATAAACTGATTCGGCGCGAGCGACGACGATAATTCATAACACCTTTACAGCGTGTGATCACAATGTGGACACGCCGCAATGAACATGGCGTGAGAAGGGATCGTCAAGAAAGTACGTCCACATTTATTCAGATTCATTTTAAAAACAAAAATGGAGCTGGGCGCCTGCGAGACGCAGGGTAGGCCACCCCGCGGTGCACGCGTGCACTGCAGGCGAGATGTTGCCTACCTACCAGGCGCTATGCGAGCTCGCAGAGACAGAGGCTGAACTCGGCTTGATCGTACCGGAGAAGGGCGGAGGTACTTTTTAGACAATTTCTCATTGACGTGTCGTTTTAGACGACTTCGCATCATGGAGACATTTTAATGCCCAGGTAAATTTTTGTAGGGCGGCGGATCGTCGTTCGGGTTCAAACACTCGTTTCGCGGGCGTACCTTCCAAGGGCCTGCTGGAGATCTTGATCTCGCCGTCGGGCACGATG